CAGCCAGTAGCATTCCCTGGACACTGGCTTGGCTTACCCCCCCCAACAACATGCCAAACCAAACAGGAAAAGCAGGCATAGCAGACCAGAAATAGTAGATCATTCAAAGCCATCATCATCAAGTAAAACATGTGCATTTGTGTACTTTGTGACAAACGAGAAACTCCAATAAAGTGAATTTATCTCAGGTTTCCTACAGTAACAGCAAACATTTTCTACCACAGCCAACAAGGTTTTTATTGGCCACAGATAAACTTTTGTCTATGTCTGAATCTTTTCAAAGATTTGTTTCAAAGCAAAGACCACACAGCTTTGCACTACCATAACTTTGAAAATGGACCAACACAAAGCCTTATGCCGCTATGCCTGCTAATATTCTCTGGACATGTACGCAACATGATTTATGGAGAGGCTGACCCCTCCATCTTTGGACAAAGTGCTTTGTGGTGGCACACTTCAATGCCAAGAGAAATAAGTTGAATTTAGCAGAGAGGAAATGTTTGGTCTACAATTATCTAAAAGCGTGTGTCACCCTGACATATTTGGCCGTGCTGTGCTTGAAAGAATATTTATACAGCAACTGTTGTGTCACAGCACAGCATCAGGCGAGCCACAAAGGCAAGCCTTCCTAACCTCAAAATGGATCCTTAAAAACACAGACCGGGAGCACAGACATAATGACCGAGTTATGGTTCATGTCTCATGAGAAGTCGTTTTGTTTTGGCCCTGTTCAGTGCAATCAAGATCTCTTTGTGGCCACTTCTTGATGACATAAACAAATGCTCTGAATCATGACAGTCGCTAAACTCCCTCAGATATAATCTCAGTTTACAGGAATCTAGGAAATATTTACCTTTTGACTCAGTGATGAAATAGCAGATATTAAAGTCTGCAAACAAAACAACAAGTCAAGCACATCCTGGCATGACAAGACAAAACACCACAAATGTAAAAAACCATCAATATTGGACTGAAATTGAAACTTTCCCTCCCCCCCACATAGACACTTCCTTTAATATTACGCAACACATCCACATCTATGAGGTTTGTAAGGGTTTTCTATTAAGGTAGCATAGTTTGGCTGATACTTCTAATACAGAAGAACATAATGTGCCTTAAAAGGGTATTTATAACCTTTGAACATTTTGATTACAATCTTTCTTGTATGTAGGAAGATTGTGTGACAGACAAATGCAAACTACTGCATTGAAATTCAGTTGTAGTTCTCAAATTCACATTTTGTTAATCTAACATTGGGGTGTGCATTGTAATCAACCCGTCTGAGTCAATATATAGACAACATTTTCCTGCAGTTAGAACTACAAGGCTTTTTGATGTAATCTGAAAAAGTCTGCACATCTCAATGCTGTGCTGCAAAGTCGAATGAGCAAAAATATCCTTCATGGACTGACAACAGAAAGTCAAAAGTAGCATGGCTATCTTTTTGTAGTTGCACATTGGCAAAAAGAGGAAAAGTTGGAACATAATTACATTTGCAAAGCACTAGATACATTACAATTGTATATAAAATACGTTAAAAAGTCAAGACTCGGGTCTTAAAATGCAGTACTGGTTTTAGGCAAGAAATCTTAAGCCTTTCAGGTTATTATGCACATGTTCTGTGCAAAAAAATGCTGCAGGCACAGTAAAATCCAAATTGGGAACATTTCACATTAAGGACAGCTTGGGAATGTCAGGAGGCTCCCTGGTGTCCATTCTGCTCCACCTCAACCCCCTCCAGCCGCCTCCCCTTTCTCTGTTCATCGCACAACAACAAGCCTTGTGACACAAGGGAAAAGCAGCACCAGGCTTCCACAGCCATTACAGTCACTATTGTCAAAGGACTTTTTCTCAAGCTATCCAACACCATGAAAAACAGGGGATCTTGTTGCGCATCCTACTCTCTCCGCTCAGGAAGCCAAGTGAAGGGTGAAAAAACCTTTTAGGGGCTTTTTCAGTGAGCTTGATCACCTGATACAGCAGGGCTCTGCACCTTTCACGCAGGACAGAAGGCCTTGTCATGGACTCTCCACATCTCCTCACTCATTGGGCTGCAGTGTTTCTGCCAGCCTGAGCAGCATAATGCACAATGAAGCCATGGTAGCAATCTTCCCAGCCATTTTCCCCCAAACAAGGCGTATGAAAGAAATCTTCTGGAGTAGGAGGCTCACCGTCACAACAAGGTAGTGATCAATCATTCCACCGAGTCAAGTAGAAGAAAATCTAAATCTATATTAAATTACTATAAATAAAATACTTGGCAACACATTAATAGATGAATAAAGTTGGTGGCAAAAATATACCTTAGGACAAAAGACCATAAGGATTCTCATGCAGGAAAAGCTAAAGACATACAAACAGATTAAACAGAAACACCATTAATATGAAAAACATACTAGCTTATTTCAAAAGCAGTTTTCCTCCCAAAAAGCTTTCTGATGAGTCCTTCCACCAAAACATGGCCCGTAATGTGCCCTTAAGATGGCTGACTCCCAGTTTTGTCCTCCAGGATTTGCAGAAAGCCACATCAAGCTGAACCCCACTGTGGGTTTTTGAATGTGGTTTTAAATGCCAAAAAGCCCTACTCTAATATTTCAGTGGGTTACTTAAGGCTTTAGTTAGAGAAGGCACCATTTCAAGCCTGATGGTAAGTCAAGCCACAATTTGCACAATTGTGCTTAAAAAGAAGATGTAGCAAACCAGCTGCTGGCAAATACTTTTTCAGCAACTAAATAAACCAATGTCCCCTGGCCTGGAGTCAAAATACTGCATGGAAAATTCCTACAGTTCCCAAAATGCACCACAATGTTTTTGTCGGATCATTTTTAGTGAAACAGAGACAGTCCACTGAATTCAATAAATCCTAAGATGAGTTGGGCTTTTAACTTTCACATGTAAAGCCTCAATTTAAAAAAAATTTAATACCAGAACATTTAATTAAAAATAACCACTTTGATTTTAAAAAAACTTTTATAAGCTATAAATAGGAAAATTAGTTTATCAAAACAACTTTATTCAATTGTTGCAACATTTATAAAGTAAATTTTATTTCAGACTATGACAAAAGGCTCTGTTGTTTAAGTTATACTGACCTCAAATCACCCAGCTGAGTAAATGGCTGGCTTTTGAATCATGAGAGATAAGGAAAGATTGTGTTTAAATAGTGTGAACTCATTTTGACTTAAGTATAAAAGCGGTACAAGCTGGTCAATGGCCGCTCATAATTCCCCTAAAACTATTGCTTCCATTGAGAAACACTGCAGTTACTATTAGATAAATGGAAACACAACTCAACACAACACAATACTCAACTACACTGCTTTTCTTCATTTAAAAAAACCCTTATAAATTGAGCAGAAAAACCAGAAGGTATCAGGTCCATAAAGTGAAATTCCACACTATTAGAGTATATATATATATATATATATATATATATATATATATATATATATATATATATATATATAAAACAAACTATAATGATCACCAGACTTTTCAAATTATGCATAATTTTTCTTCCACTTTGATGGCCAGCACTGTTGTGTGCTTTGCACAAAAGGCATCTGGAAAGAATGCCTGGTAATAGTTTACTCTAGCGCAGAACAATGGTCTCATCTCTTGCTGCAAAAGACGTTTTCTGCACTCCTGGCAGGTCTCACATGAGCAGAGAGCCAGTTTTAACACATGCAAAAGTTCAGACCGAAATCCTTAACTTCTGTTATTATCGGACACATTTTCAAGAAAACAGAAAACACCTCAATATCCTCAAGATCCACTTGGACCCACTGGCCCCAAGTTCCAGCACAGTCTCAGAAAATCATTATAGGCATGGATTCAACAAGCCAGCTCTCTTCATGGTCTCATGAACTGGACCTTCTCAGCCAGCTGCCTTCTAAAAAGAACGCTTGATTGTTTTAAAGTTCAAACCTCTGTGTATTTATCTAACTTTATGCCTTATCTCAAGTTATAAAAAAGAAAAATGTCTGGAATTTTTTTGAGCCACCACAAAAGGTCGTGAATGTGTTTTTCCCCCCCTCTGTTGTCATTTCACATGTTTTGTCATCTACTGGGACCAAATGTATGAGACCAAGTATGTAAGCATAGCTGAAATAGCTTGTGATGAACTTTCCCACAACATTTTTCTCTTTAATTCAATGAAGTCTTTCCAGATGCCCTGGTCCCCCTTCTTTTTTGTTGGAAGGATAAATAGACTCACCATAGATTACAAGAACTCTTAGAACCCCAAGTCTGTATTTTACTTCTTGGAGAACAATGCGTCTCCTTTCAGACAGTCAAAGGTTAAAGCATTGTTCTGATACAATGCCATTTTTTGTTGAAATGATCTCTGAATGGCTCCAAACTGCTGTAAAGCATAATGCCAAATATTTTTAAAGGCTGACCTTTGAAGCTTATACACTCCCTGCTATAAAAATGTCAAAGCTACCCGTTTCCTGCCTTTCCTGTCGCATGTAACAGACCATCCACAAACTCTTTTTAGGGCACCTTGTGTGGCATCGGAGACCAACAACCCAATAGGAACGGCAAATAATTTAATACTTTTATTCTTGCAAACTGGGCTATTGCAGTTAAAATAAATATGGAAAGGGTGAAAGGGTGAAAAAAAAAAGTTTCTTAGTGAACATGAGTCCAAAACTCCAACTTCATTTGCGTGACAGATTTATTTTCAAGGAGCAAGTATAGGCTGCTTGTTTCCAGGCAATAATTCTGGTGCTTATATTCAAGATAGAAAGAGTGAAAGAACAGAGATTCAACCAAAAACCACAGCATACTGCAAACAGTTAAGACATAAAAAAAATATATTTATATAGATTTTATTGTTCCTAATTCTAATTAAACGCATTTTACAGTACATGAGCATCTACACTGTCACAGAACAGACATAAATTAGCAACTGAAATGGTGGACAAGTCATAAATCTCAGACAAGTAAAAATCTGCTTTGATGGCAATATTTACAAGAAGAGTTTGGCTGAAACCAACCTGAGAGTGAGGCCTGGACAGATGGTTGTTTTTATCCTCTGGTGACCATGAGCGCAGCTGCACACTGTAAAATATGGACAAAAATAAGTCACTGATGCATAACAATTCCTAAGTCAGCCAACATACGGAGTCTTGTGACTTTATGAACCTCCATTAAACTTTTTCCTCAATTCGCCACATTGGTACTATATACTTATAGTACTACGTATAGGGGTGTACTACATACTATATAGTACTTCTACTATATACTACTATATACTTCAGCGTAACACAACCAAGACAAAGTAGAGTAAGTGGAGAGTGCAGTATCATGCTGTGGGGATGCTTTCCTTCAGCAGAGACAAGGTCAGAGTTCATGATAAAAATAGATACCAAGGCCGCAACAGACTTTGAAACTGGGACAGAGGGTAACTTTCCTGGACACGGAGTTACAGCGCAACAGTTTATATCAAAGCAAATTAATGTCTTTGAATGTTCTAGTCAAAGTCCATATCTCAATTTTGCAGAGTATTTTACAAAAGCGACATTTCTTACAACTTTAACTGTAGCAAAAGGTTGTTTGTCAGAATACTGACTGATGTAGGCTGAGGAAAAATGTATGCAAGTTTTTTTGTGCAAGATCTTGAAACCCTTAATTTCACTTCATCTTTACAAAATGAGAAATGTTTTCCTATTTAAGAGATGAAATAGGAACAGTGAACAAAATGTTTTCTTATATTTTCTTTCGTCTGTCCTGCAGTAGCTTTAAGAACATATTCTGCCCCAGAAAATGTCCTAACCATCATGCCTCTGTCTGATTTCACATCCTTACAAAGCAAGAACAATTTGAATCTACTGATGATCTACAGTAGTTCAGCATCAGATTCCTACTTATTATTTTAAAACTGATGACAAAACACTGCTGGGCTGAAACATTTATGAGTCCAGACAAAAACAACAAACTGTTTCCAATGAAAATTGTCCAGGAGAGCGAGCAACTGCACCACAAACAGAAACTATGGTGAACATTCCCCATTCTGCCTTTTGTTGAACTCAATGCAAAAGAAGGAATGTGATATCCTGTGCATATCTTTTGTTACAACCCCATGGCTCCACCTTCTGTGTGTCACTCACATACCTATTGACTTGAATGTTGTGGAGTCAAGAGAGCACTTGGTGGTGTCTTTTGTCCAAATACAGTTCTGATTCTGCTCTAAATACCTGAGCTTCTGAAAGACGCTCAACTATGTTCATGGTCTTTTTAGGACAGGTTGAAGTTCTTTTTATATCCATTTGTTCACTTATTGCACATAATTTTTTTCTTAGCAACATTAGCAGGAGTGTGGAGTTTCTGAAATGTTATACGCCGCTTTATTTGTAACAATAAAAGGATTCCTAAACTAGTTGTTTGTCCCCACCTTCTTGGTTCAGGATTTTCTTTAGTGTATTAAAAGCATGGCAGTCCTCCAAAGGTTACTTTCCCCACTGCCAGGCCAGATACACCAGAAACAGTGATTGCAACATAGGTTTATAGTTGACGCAGCAAAGAAGGTGCTAGGCAGAGGGGTGTGCATCACTTTCACCGTCCTGCGTTCGCATACTCAGCTCAGAACAATGAACCTGGTCATTTCACTCTTCAAAATTTTGTTTCTCGGCACAGACAGCACACACCACCTTTTACTCGAACTGGTCTATTTGGAAGAGGCTCTTGCAGAGCAGATTTGCCTATGCCAGCATTAAGATGATCCCTCCATGAAGGTGCTCAGCAGAATGATGCATTGTGTGTGCATTTATATCTCACACATGCTCGCTCAATACGTGTTCTGTCACGCACTTGGCTCTATGTCTTCACCTGCAACTTGATTAAGTTAATGTAAATGAACCCCACCACCAGTAAATAATAGACCGATGGGGTTTTTTTTAATCAAAGTATTTATTCGCTTGGATAAGTAACTAATCATAACCAGCAAATCAAAACACTGCATCAAGCCACAGACATTAGTAAGGACATTAAACATCTTAATACAAGAAATATATGGATGGTATACCTAAGAATATTTAGTTTATGCATACCTGAAATGGACAATAAATATTGGTAATATTTCTTTTAACCCTTGGGGCTGGCCCAAGGTAATATGAGGCCTGAAGCAGGATATAATTCAGGGATGCTCTCTTCCTACTGAGATCATCACCAGGACTAACAGTGAATCAATACAGATTTGATGTCATCAAATCTGTATTGATTTGTTCTCATCAATACAGATGTGATGAGATCAAATCTGTATTGATTTGTTCTCATCAATACAGATGTGATGAGATCAAATCTGTATTGATTTGTTCTCATCAATACAGATCTTATCTGTATTGATGATAACTATATATGAAGAGAGAGGAGGACACGTTTAAGAGGCCAAGATTGAAAACGAGTGATAAGTGGTTCATTTTTCTGAGCTGTATTTGTGAACAACTGGAGCTCAAAACAACTTCAGCAAATGTTAACACAACAACATGGAGGGCTGCTGGTGGTCACCTACCATTGAGCTTAGCAAGTTTTCTGGTGGAAACTATGTGGCTATACCTTTTAGGAACAGAATCTATTTGAATATGCATGCTTGAACAAGGTGTGCACTGATATTTACAGTGTTACGTAACAATAGCTACCTCTTATTAATGGTTGGTGTCAGTCTTCCCCCTCTTCTGTCAGGGCTGACAGGAGAATATGATGAATAGGGTCCTGGGGACTGTGACGTAGGACTGGAGATTTTATACTCACTGTAGTTCTGGTTCTCGTCTCGACTCACTATGACTACCTCCTGCACAAAGAAGGAGTAAAAGAAAGAAAAATTACATGACTTCTTGTCTCTTTAATGTAACTTGATTGGATCCACACCACACAAAAACATGTAATGTAACCATTACATTTTAAGAAAACTGCAGAAAGGCCATTGAAATCTTACTGATAAAAAACAATGACTAAATTCCTATTGTGTGTTTTGCCGTTTTCCTCTTGACAGAAAAGCACAACATGCAATAAGTGGCTGTGCAATGTCGCATGAATATAAGTGAAGCAAAAACTGCTGTTGTTATAATAAGGCATACATTAATATGTATTTGATAGCTTTCCATGACATTGAAAGTATGGTCCACTTGAGGGTTTGTAATTTATAAACTATCTGATGTTTGACGTCAGCAATCAGACCAAATAAAACATGAAAAGTCCCTCAGAGATTCAGCACTGACCTGGAAGCGTCCAGTGAGCTGATCAGGGGTGCTGATGCCGTTGGTTTGTGTAGAGTTGGGAGTCTCAGGTCTTAAAAAGAAGAAAACCACAGAATTCAGATGGATTTTAAAGTCAATACCTTACAACCCAGAAGTTCATTTCACAGCTGTGCACCTGGGTTAAGGTCTGATCCAATTACAGCTGAATTAAAAGAAATGTAATGCAGACAGAAACTTAAGGCAAGATAAATATTCTGAGTATGTAAATCTGGTCTAAATGGAATTATGAAGATGCTGATGTATTCCTGATTATGCTGAAAAGGGGAAAGTGACCATTTTTGAAAGAACACCAAGTATTTGTGAAATATTTATTTTGCATATATTCTAATCCAAGGTGCATCTTAATGTTTTGGACTTCACTTCTATTCTAAACATGAGCATTATTCAAATGACAGTCAGCTGAAGGGCCGTAAATAGTCAGCTTCTTGGTTGATCCAATGTGGAGAGGCACACAGAAAGGCTGGGATGCTTGTGGTAAATTGCAATGAAGGAATCCTTCTAGTGGCCTTATGTCCACACATTGCATTCAGAGGAGAGATGGTAGGAATTTGACTGCTAATGGACCATCTGTTTGCCATTTCTCACTGATGACCTGCTGTAGGTAAGAAAAACTAGACTTGAAGACTTCCACAGCTGCAAATGCCCCCAACTAGATGGGTATTTACTAGAATCAAGGTAAATTCAAGAATTAAAAAAAGAACGAAAAGAGAGAGAGAAAGAGCAATTGGGCATTAATTAAATCCATATGAGGGATCAAAGGCAAAAACTACTTTTAACCAACAAGAAACAAGAACAAGGACACACTTGCAGAAAAAAAAACCCTGAGGAAAATATTCAGTGGACTGTTGACATAAAAGTGGAACTTTTTGGAAGGTGTGTGCCTCATTAAATCTCTTAAACGAACAGCATTTGAGAAATAAACAATCTACCAGTCAAAAATGGTGGCAGCTGTGTGAGGACATTTGGCTGGGCTGCAAAACAAGCATACTTGGCTGTTGTCCTCTTAAAAAAAAGAAAAAGACTAAAACAGGGGTGGACTTCACTGAAGTCCAGTCAAAATCTGTATTCTTATCTGTCAAGAAACAGTTGCTGTTTTTAAAGAATACAACATCAGCTGCCACTTTGTCACCAAGCATGCTAATTATGCTAACAACCAGTCAACGCAATGACGGTCGTCTACCGCGCTGAGAATGGCAGCAAGTTTCATCTCCCTTCACACAAGACCCTGAAACAGCACCTCAGATGTTGCAGGTGGAACTGATTGTTCAACTCTCTTAAAGTGGACGGGTTTTAAGCTTTATTAAGTGCAGTCAAATTTCCAAATATCCAGAAGATGGCACAGAGGATGCTGGTATAGTTTGACTTTACTTACATGTATGAACAAATTCAAACTGAGCTGAGTGAAGAAAAGCTCAGCGCTGTTCTGAGAATTGCCACAACAAAACTAACACCTGGCTGTCATGCACTGGCAAAAAAGGGAGATCAACAACTCTTTTCCCACTAAAAGTGAATGTAAGTATTAAAACTGTAGTGCTTTTTTATGCTTATGTTTGATATGTGTGCATCTGGTGCTAGCCCGGCCTGGCAGTCAAATTTTAAAAGTCGATGTGGCGCCTGAGCCAAAACCGTAGGATTATTAAAAGAAACACTTTTAATAAAACAAATGTCTGAGTTTCTCTACTCTTACAAAAAAAATCTATTTAATCAGCAAAGCTGTGTGGTAAAGTACAACTTAGGTTGTACAATTAAGATAAGACCTCAATCACCAAGACGTTGTAAAATATTGAAAAACTGAGAAGCCATGTTAAAAGAGAAAAGCTACACAGATTTAAGAGATGAGAAGAAGGCTGTATAGATTTTCTAAGTTGGATGTTACTTTCCGTTAGACAAAAACAGCCAAAGCCTGATTATATGATTCTTCTATAGGAAGCTGGAACTAATACTTTGGGAAATAGTTCAAAAACTACTTCTCTTTTGCTATGCCATAAAATAAAGAAAACTGAGCCCAAGAAATCAAAAAGTAATTGGTGAAAATCTATCTTACATTCACACCATAGAGTCTGAGTATAATTCAAAAGGCTTTTGAGCAACCACACTAAAGAAGGCTGTGAGGTGAGTTTTAGGTGCTGAAAACCCATGCAGGGTTTTTGTGATCAACAACAGGGCGGAGGCTGCACAGTGGCATTGTACCGGCAGCCAAGGAGTAATGGTGTTTTTGGCTTGACTGTTGACATGAGGTCAGGAGGGAAAAATTCACTCACATGGACGTAGGACATCCGAGAAGGAAATCTGTGGAAACGTGTGCAAGTGTGTCTCAGTGGATGTTTGCATGCCATAAGAGAACAAGACAAACAGATCGACCCAGACCACAGCAGAATTTAGGGAGGACTTCTAATCAAAATGCCAGCCGACGGAAGCATGGGCTCAGAGGAAAAGTTTTCAGTGGCATTCAAACAGGGCTTCTGCAAATCTTACAACAAGGCCTATTAGGAGGGAGCGGGGAAAGGAACAGAGTGGCTCTCATACATCCTGGCATTTCCCCTGATTACAATCACTTGTTTTGTTTGTACAGTGCTTGCTTGATGGAGGTGAACACAGCGCAAAGATTGTGGCTTTGGAACAAACAAACCATTTGGGATGTAGAAGATATTTGTGATGTTCAAGCATGTCCCAAGCACTACATTTGTTTTGTTTATATATGCAACATATAAATATCTGCAAAACTAAGTCCACAGTTACTGAAAAAGCAGATCAGTGTTTATTGTACCTCTCCACCAAAAGCTGCAGATGAGTCTTTGAGTTCTTGATTTTGTTCTGGGCCTCCACATTCAGCATGTCAGCTGTGTTTTCACCGTTGATTTCCAGGATGATATCACCAGCATGCAGGTCTGCTTTCTCTGCCTTGCTGCCTCCATTGACCTGTTAAGAAAAATAAGGTCCAGTTACTGCCCTACGTCCTAAACATAACCTCCAATTGAAGTCAGTGGGCAAGCCACACAATGGGAAAATAGGAAAAATGTGCAGAGGAAATGAAGTGCTCGTTAAATTCTTTATACAGAAAAAACATGCACATAGGACTGGGTGTACTGTGCTGATTAACAGTGGAAGTATTTGTGACACTCTTGTGAAGAAATCCTTATTGTGACATTTCTTCATAACTTGATAGGATCTGACTTCTGCTACAAGTGTCACCACACGTCAAACAGTACTCCACCAACACCACAAAGGGATTTTCAGATTAACGAGCCAAAACATTACATCAGTCACTGTTAGTACCATTTTGTTAGTAATAGGGCTGCCTCATCCATCATAAATTCATCATTCTAGCAATATCCCTGAATGCAATAGAACAGAATAGAAATATCCTTTATTGTCCCACAGTGAGGGCACATTGCTACTGCATGGACTGCAGTAAAACCCCCAAGTACAAATGCAAACAAAAAACAATGATGCACAGGATTTTATATACAATCCACCTCAGAGTTATGAGCAATTAACTTTGTTTAATTGATTATGCAAGATCAAAATAATTACCGTACATTGAAGTTTGCGGTTCCAATATGGGGTAGCAATACTTTTGAAAGGCACTGTAAAATCAGCAAATGCGCATCAGGAAAAAAATATGGTAATAAAGTTGTATCTTTAGACATGAGGATGATATTTGTCTGTGTTTTACTGACAAGTTAAAAACAGGCAACGGAGTAACAAAAAGTTTAAACATGAGTTAAAAGCAGGAAAATCGGAGCAATGAAAATGAGTCCAAACAGAAGGCCTTTCAGCATCCAGTTCGCCATTCAGCTTAGAGAAGTATGAGGCCAGAGGTGCAATGTCAGGAGTTGCTGTGGTGACCTACAGCAGTGCATGTCTTCTCTGATCAGAGCAAGCCTGATTTCACAAAAACAAAGATCAGCTAGAGCTTCTTCTGCAAAGTTTAGACGCCAAGACAAACAGAGGTAAGCCATCTTTCAGGTCAACAGAATAAAGAATCCAGGCATGTCAACACTGAGCCGTTGCCAAAAGCTTAAAATTCTCCAACCATATCGGTACATAACCAATCCTGTTAAAAAGTCTAAATATTTCCCATGACAGTTTTTCAAAACAATTTCTGACAACCCCATTATTTACAAGCGCAGGCATTTTCTTTTGGCATTTGCCATTAAGTATAGGGCCAAATACTAAATGTGCTTTAAACTTCAGGCCATTGAGGCATAATATATCAATGGTATCAGGAGCTACTGAAGAAGGGTGTTGCTGCAAAAGGGGAAAAATAAACTGTTGTGAAGGACCAGGATGTGCAGGAGGCAGGTCAGGGTGCCTCAGTTATGCAGAAGTCTGTCTGAGCAAGGTTTCCGGATTGTGTTTATTTCACACCACAGGATTACTGCTTCTGCTTTTTATGTTGCACCTTTTGAATGAACTGGAACATATCTTGAGAAAAAAAACATGAAAATGTTTCATTAAAGCTGCAATTGATGCACCTGTTGACGCACAAGGGGTGAACAGAATCTGCTCTCCAAACATTGCCCTGTTCAGACCAGGCATCCTTCACCTCCCACCTCAACTGTAATCAGTGGCTTCCTTCCAATACAATCCACATCCACCTTATTCTAACACATCCAGTGGTCAAGGAAATGGCCATTACACAGCAACAGTCAGGCACAAAGACAAGAAGAGAGATAAGAGGAAGTTTGCTTTCTATGACATACCATTACGACCTGTATTTTGTGAGAAAACAGAGGATACAGCCTTTTTCCTAAGATAAGTTTGAGTAAAATGAATAAAGTACCTTTGATACGGTAATGGCCTTCTTGAAGTCCCTTCCTCCATATATTCTGAAGCCCCATGGAGAGGGGCCGATCAAGTTCAGTGTTAATGCCATCGAACAATCAGATGAACACAGGCTCCAGTCCAACCCTGAAAAAAAAAGGAGACTGTAAACATGACATTAGCTGCAAGTGATGTGCCAAACCGCAGCTTATGTACAGCTCAGCGCTTTCATCAGTTGCACATTTCTTTCAACCAGACTTAGCATTAGATAAAATTGTGAAGACAGTCAACATTTCAATGAGCTTCCTTTCATCTTCACATTGACTGGTTTAAGTCGCCTTGACATGGATTGTGCAACCACATCAAATAGGAATGGGAAGAATCTCAAACCAAAGACATATGACTAAAATTGCTCAAGAGCCTGCAGAGCCAAAGACACATTAAATCCGACTGCTTCTAGACAACAAAAATAAATAAACAAAATCCTCCAGACAGAGTGAACAAGAAGCGAAACATTTTATGACTGCATCCATTTACACATAATGTGTGTTTATCCAACATACAGCAGTGTATAAGGTTCTGGCATGTTTGACATATGGTAGCGCTTTCAGACATGAAACGCTCACATTACAGAAACAAAAGTAATTTAACAATTTCATTGGTCAGGATTTGCATGGTCGTTTACACATTCTGTAATATTCTAGTCGTCTGTATTTCTAAATCTATTGCTTACAGTAATGTTCGAAATTCCAGCATTTAAAGGGAATACATCATATTTTAGGTCACAAAACCTAAAAATGCAGCATTCATTTCCCTTATAATTCAAGCCTGCGTAATTTATCCTCAAAGTTCTTTGAAAAACGAAGGTGAAACCAAGACCCAAAAGTGTCCCAAGTACCAACTTCAGCCCAACATAGGACAGGTGCACAAACCTACAGTTTAATTATTCCCTTCTGTTTCAATTTATCCATTTATTGCACAAATAATTTTTAAAAAATTACCTTTATTTTTGTTAAAGGATCAGCACTATTGTGCTTTTATTTCATCTAGAGATTTAGTTATACATAATCTGATTCAATTTATAAAGCAAAAGTAGCACTAAATAAAAACAGATGAAAAAAAAGGGTTTCAGATACAGAGTTTTAAAAACTGAAAACCGATTTGAAAAAAAAATGCATGTTGAAATGTTGATTGATGAATTGGACAGAACCATTTTTGGCAGTCATGCTCCCTCTGAGCATCAGAAATCTTTCAACAGGTTGTACAAGACAATATCAGCTAAATGTTCGGCTTGTTTGTTTCGTGAAAACAAACATGTTCTCTTACAAAGATGATGTCGGCAAGGCACAAAAGGATAATTAGATTTAGATAAGAAACTACAGCATCAATATCCTTTACAAGAAGTCTAAGCTTTTAATGGCAAAGGGTAAAGGACACATTCCTCACAAGCTGTTAGTTTATGCAAATTAAGCTTTGTTGACACACATTTATATAAAATGCAGGATTTCTTTGTCCCACATGAGCTCAAACTCCTGCTCTTCAACTTTGCTATAACCTGTAATTAGACCCTGTTAATTGCTGTGTATGAAGTTTGCCTGTTATTCAACTGCCTACACAAACATATTTGTAGCAATACTATGTGATGATGGGGTAAGTTCTGCAGGTACATACACACATTTGAACTGTAAAACACAAAAATGCAGAGCTGTTGTGACTGTGCTGCATAAAAAAGGTAAATGTGTAGGTGGATGTGTAAATGATCCTGTAAGTCATTTTATTATATATACTGAATGCAAAAAAAAAGAATCACCTGATATTCAATTTTTTAATTCAAATAAATAGACACCCTAAAGGAAATAATTAATTCTTTAGCATACAGCAGGAACCTCTTAGAAAGATCAGTATAACCCAGTAATAATGGAAGAAATCATTAAAACGAGTCACTGATGGCGTTTCTTTGCTCACCACATTATAAATCTACAGACGTCACATGCTTAAATAAACTGTAAACTTAAGATTTCAATATAATTAAAGTTTAATTACTGCAGAATAGTGAAAATGAACTGGGAAATGTGACCAAAACGTCCCCCAATGCTTTTAGCATCCAGAGCTAATATGGAGACTAAAACTGATACAAGTCAACTTATAGCAGAAAGGAAACATAAAATATGAAGATTAGAAAAAGATTGCAGGCCTGAGTAGATCCAGGACAGCAGTCGCACTCCTCCCCTCCCGCCCATTTCATTGTCTGCACATTCCACAAGTGTTTAGGACAAACGGCGCATACCTAGTTTCTCATTAAAAGTCTGGGCCAATTAACAGGGTTACTGGGCTCACCATCATTAGGGTCTCTTAATTACTGTGGCCTGCAAAAATAGGCACAGTAGTGCTAATGACAGGGAGCAACCACCCCAAACTTTCCCAGCCTCCGGGGAGTCTTTTAGCTGTAGGAGTGTCTGCAGCCGTTCCTATAAAGTGACCAGAACCACCCCAGAACCCTGCCAATTTTGTGAGTCCTTACTGCTGGCATCACACAAATAAAAGAGGGTGACAGCTGTGGCTGGGCTCAGAGGTTGGAGAAGAGGCTAGAGAAAAATACAGCAGCAGTAAGAATCAGTAGTCGAGTTATGTATGATGTACAACTGGTGAGATTACAAAGTGAAAGCTGTTTGAGAAAGCTTTCCTTTCCCACAGTCGCTGTCTAGCAGTTGCCAGCACACAAAAAATGTTTTGCTCTCTTCTCGTTGCCACAAAAAGTAGTAAGTGACTCATTCACATAATTAATGTGGAGCATCAATTAATTTGATAATTTTGTCTGGTTCTGCATGGTCTGTAAAGCAGGACACCATCCTGATGAGAAATTACTTTAAGCTGCAGAAAACCACTTCTGACAACAGACAGGGTTATGACTTTACTGAGAATCTGCTGGCCACCGAATTAATGTCACAATTTTTAGCAAAGCAATAAGTTGCGACCCCATATGCCCTCATGGTCTACTACTGGATGTTATTTCGTATACGAGTCCAAGTTCTAGGTTTTGACTAGGCCCCTGTTTTACATTTCAGAGTTTTGAGTCTATAGTAGATTTAATGGTACATTTTGGATCATTGTCATGTTTCAGGATCCAGATTTGCTTCAGCTTTAATCTTTGTACAAATTACCTGGCATTTCTCTCAAGCTTCCTCCATCTAAAATCATGGTACTACCACCTCCATGCATCACTGCCATGGAGTGATGCATGTACAGAAGATCTCCACATCTTCTGTACATTCTCACTTCATCAGAATCTGAAGTCAGATTCCTTGTTTGTTCACACAATCAAGGCCAATGAAGCCGATTCTCATTCTGTAGAAAATAAAATTAAGTTTCAAGATAGGAATTGACATTTTTTTACGAGTGAGATTAGAAATCTGTCTTTTTTCAGTCTGTTCATTTTCACAGGGACATTCTTCTTTTTTGGGTAAAGTTCAAGCATGTCATCTTCATACGCAAAATGTTTGACTCTTTGACACTTCGCATGTCTAAGAACTTATCCCTAAAGGCATAAACAGAAAGACGATATGACAAGACAGCAATGCATTCAACTCGGTACTCACCACTATGATGTGCAGAAAATCTTTTCAGTTCAGCCAAAAAAATAAAACACTTTTGTGTCCCACATTTAATAACATAATTTGTAAGAAATAAACAGATATTATGTGAAGCAATATGTACTTTGAAATGAAAATTAAAATCCCCACAGACCGAAGCACATTGACTGTTTTCTGTAGATATCTTTCTCTTGTGACAAACGGTGCATGCAACCATTACCACACAGACATACAATATCAAGCATGCAATCATCATCATTTAACCTCTGTACTTATGGGTTATTCAAGCTGAATAATTGATGCCTGTGAGCACAAGTCTGAAAACTGAAAAACTGAAACTGTGCATGCAGCTGACTGGAGTGAGGTAGAATGATCAGCCTTTGATGAGTCAGTAACTTTGTTTCGCATGGCGCCAAATCAGCATGGCAACCATCCCTTATGTTTACAGGTAAATTTGTGTGGAAAGAATGAGCTTAAGTAGAGAATTATTGCAAAAAGTCAGACCATTAATATAATAGTAAACATCACGGGAAACAATTAAAATCATTGCATTTAACAATGCCAACTTGCTGGATTAGCACCTAATTTTTAAACAGGAATGAAATTTGGAAAAATAAGTTGCTTCCAAATGCGCTTTAACTGGAACTTTTGTACTCTGATAAAATGTAATTAGATCAATAAAACTCCTGGCCACCTGGAGTTTATGGAGTTTGTTGTTGTAAGAGAGTAGAAATCTGGTTTGATCCAACTACCAGCCAGCTGTTATCTTCGTCTTCTACCTGCTTTCACTCCGGGATTATGAAACTATTTAATTGACCAACTAATCTGGATTTATACAAAACAAAATGCCCAGATAGTCATTCACAGCAGGTAGGACATTGCCCAGTCACACAACATCAAGCTCAAGAGATTTTTCATTATAATATATACATGAGAAATTTTTTCGTAAAGTTTAGTGCCAATATCAAGCTCTGGATCAGATGCTAACATTAGCATCTTATAAAAGTTATTGTCACAGTATTGTCAAGGCTTGTAAATGGGTATGTTGCATGATGAAAGTAACTAATATAAAAAAGGAACCAAAATTTTATAGCAATTTAAAGGAAGATATTAACTAGCCAATAGCTTTGGCCTCCAGGCCCATAAATTTGGATTTATACTAAATTAAAGATGTTATCGACTACGTACTTTTAGCCAAGCCTCACTTAAAAATAACCTCGACCTACCCCTTTAAAGTTTGGGTGAAAATATACTTAACTGGCTTCCCAAAACTGAACTAGCATCAGATGAACAGAGGAGACAAAAGTAACTCTGTTGCGGAGTTGCACATAGATGAACCACTGTAGCTTCAGGGGAAATATTCCCAACGTGAATCACAGACACTTGTTTAGGCTCTCTCTCTGTTTGCCTGTCACAAAGTGTGAACCTTCCACAACCCACTTCAGCAATGACATCACTTGCCGACTCCAACTTGGGTGTTGTGCACCGCGCCGACAGCTCCACCAAGTATACCTGAGCTCACACCCTGTGAACAAAAAGGAGAGGAATGCAGCAGCAAAGCCTCTCCCTGGGCAGAGAAGAGGGGGGGAAAAAAAACTTCCCGTATATTCACCAAATCACACCCATTTGGTCAGATATAGCTGCAGTCACCCAGGGGGATGAGAAAACATCAAACAACAACAAGGTTTGTGATGTCAAAAAGGGGTGTATGTTCATTTTCCTTTGTGTTTAATGTCGCCATGTTTAATTGCTTATGTGTCAGCACATTAATAATAAGCTGAAACATACCTGTAATTTTTGTGGGTTACTCCCTTTTCCAGGGAGAAAACTTCAAGGGTGGAGGCTCATCTTTAGCATTCTGCTCTATGAAAGCGTTACATGAAGCACCACAACAGTGGACTGGAGTGAGACTTTGAAGCAGTACTTGATGGAGATAAAAAGACTATTTTTACTCAAAACACCTTGTATCGCATTGAAGATGCTGATTTCTTGCAAAAGAAATCAGACAACAGCCTCGACTGTTTCATAACTGGAGCAGCTCACCACATCCTCAAAAACGCACTGTTGCCTTTTTAGTAAGAAGAACTTTGTTCGTTTCAGTGCACCCTCAAAATACACAGCTGCAACTTTATGTTTCCAGATTCATTGCCAATGTTCGCCGAGCATTCGTTTTTCATTTTCTGTGTTAAATTTGACTCTGAAACTTTGCACAAAACTTGAAATGAAGGCAAGAGTCAAAACCCGTCTGCTGAAAGTAAAACACAGACTTCCTGCTGACAAGAAACATGCAGACCTTACTTCTGCTGCATATCTGTTACGGAACACAGCACAAGAAAATGCTCATCTAAAAACATCTTCAAATATTTACTTCGCTTTAGGGGACCACAACTGAAAAACAAATGGACATCTTCTCATCAACTTCTACTTGGTTGCTTGAAAAGCCTCTGTTTGTTTCTACCCAAAATTATAGTGCGACTGCCTTTGGTTTTGGATGACTTTAACCGGTTTTCATCTCGCAATCGTAGCACCAATCTGTCAGTAAAACCAACACAAAGAGCAAGAGGAGGGTCGGTGAAACATGGGGATGAAAGACTGCCAGACACAATGGAAAACATATTCAAATTGCAATCACAGGAGTATTGAGAACAAGGCAGAATTACTCTGACTGTTCGGGGCTGTGCTCTGAAACCCCTCAAGTAGTTTTCCATCTGCTGAGCTCGGAGTCAGGTCCAGTTATTTCTAAAGACCTTCCGTGAAGAGCAGCATGAGAGGAGCAGGCCTATCCAGACATTTAACGAAAAAAAAAAAACATTGGGAAGAAATGCAGCATTGAAAGGCTGACTTTTCAAAAATGAAGCATGAAAGCACATCATTACCATTCAACAGGCAACTTTAAAGGTTAGGAGGGTAACAGAAACAGCTGCTGGACTGATGTAATGGGTCTGAGAGCTTCAGAGGTTTGCACCTGGTTCAGTTCCATCACAAATCAAACTGAAAACCTAATGGAAAAAACCTTCTGAACAGGAAAGGCATAAACACATGTCAGTTTCTTAAAATCTCACCCCTGATGACCTTTCTTTTTTTCTCACCGATTTGCAAGTTCAGTTGAGGACTTTTAAAGTTTCAAAAACATCTGGCCACAACATATTTACACCTCTACACCAACACACACCTTTGAGAGCACTTTGCTCAATCAGCCGTTTTCCTTTTGGCACAATGCTTGGTGCGACAGGAAAGTGTCAATATAATGATCAAATTTACCTGCCCTTTGACCCGAGTATGCACAATGCCTTAAGTAGGTATGAGTAGTCCAATGAAACTTGCTCATGGCATCATGTCAGATTAAACACAATGGTAAATGGTCAAACAGAGTTGTCAGCGCAAGAGTATGGAGACAAAAGTGAGTGGAAGAGTGAACGTTTTGGATGAAGCCTCTTGAGTTTAAGTTTGTATGTTGAGGCTATTAGAGACATTTCAAGGACTATGAGACTTTTGAAGGCAAATATTTTGCTTGTTAGACCCACTAAAAATGATAGACTTCGAAAGATTACCCTCATATACCCATCAAAGAATGGGAATAGTCTTTATCAAAAGATTTTTATTAAAAAAAAAAAACACTTGTTGACTTGTTTATTGATGGTAAATGTTTTGAGTAATTAGTTTCATGTTTGGATTTAATTCTATTGTATTGTATAGCTCTTTTATCAACCGCCAATGTTTTAAATCAGATGTGGAAATAATTTTGTAAAATAAAAAAAAATATATAAAAAATGTTTGTCATTTGTGACTTCAGTACAAATTGTGAAGCCACAGTTGTGGATTCTAACTTTTATAAGCCCGGAAGGCTTCAGACCGAATATAAATCCAGGTGTCCCGCTTATCATTAAATGAAACCCACGCTACTTGTTATACAAAGCTGTGTGCTGTCACATGAACTCCCACAAGCGAGCTGTGTCAAACAAAATATATGTGGATGGGAATAGCGGAGCTACTTACCAAGTTAAATGCGGTGCAATTAACTCTGTCTTCTCCTCCACCTGTGAAATATTATTTCTGAGCAACAAAAAGCCTTCCGCAGCCAGGAGTCAGCACGGTTCGTGTCTGCAGTCTGGCAGACGCTGTCACCAAAATAGTTATTTAAAAAAAAAGAAAGAAAAGAAGAAGAGAGAATAAGAGCAGCTTTTAGGACACCGGAAAGCTGCTGCTGCTGCTTCTCGGCCAGCCGTGTGGAGGGTTTAGAAGACACGCGAGAATGCCAGCTGTGAGCGCGCGCACTGTGGTATAACCAGGATAAGCTCGCGACGCCATGTGCCGTTACCAAAATTTAAAAAAAAAGTTGACACAAGCTGAACGTGAGGGGGCGTGTCTTACCGCGGAGCAGAGCAGAGCAGGGAGCAGCAGATAATTGAGCTATTGATCCGAAACCAACCGCGCTTGGTGCTCATGCGCCTCCTACTGACGAAAAGTGGGACGTGCAACAGGAGACAGGGTTAATTGATGAGCAGCTCAATGTGGGACATGAGAAAGTTTAAAATGTGAAATAAGAAGACTTGAAATACCAAGACACTCCCATGTTGGTGATTTAAAGGTCATTGCGAATAAAAGCACTGATGACACCTCGATCAAAGGTGCCTGAATGTTGATTCATGGTTGGGCTGTGTGATCACTCCACAGCCAAACCTATTGAACCTGTGACCTTAAATTGCACAATCTTGTTCAAATGTCCCTATCATCTAAATGAACCACGTTGTGTAATCTTGGAGTGAATCACAGAGGAAACCAATAAAAATCCCATAGCTGAATGACTTTCATAAAACAGCATGACCTTGAAAAGTGTTTAATCTACTAAGTTGCTTGCATGCTTTTCTGTGTACATGTGTTGCTCCATGAACTTCTGATGCAGTTTTATTTTGATTTAAATCAAAATGTTAGAAGAATAAGAAATCAGCTTTGAACTTTCATTGATCTTCTGTCTACATCAAACGATCAACAATATTATCAAAACATACAACAAAACGAATAACTGAACACCAGTCGCTTTTTATCACTGTGATATTTAATCAACTTTAATATAAATTGTGTACCATAGATATGCAATACACTGTTCCTTTTAAGCAAATATATATTATCCTTTCAGTTTTACAAACTGTTACAATCTGTACAATCATCTCATGTGGCTAGTAAATGAAAATCATTTTTTTAGGTAAAATTTTCACTTAAAGATGAGCCTTTTTTTTAGATAAAGTCTTATTAACTTATCAAGTTACACTTGAACCAAAAACAGATAATTTTCTTGAATACTGCTTTCAAATAACAATGTAAAAACAAAAACAAAAAATTCATCACAAAAGCAGCTGTTGCAAACATAGCAGACGGTTAGCTGGGAATGTTTCATGAACATCTGAACAGACGCATGTCGTCCTCAGCTACTTTTGGCACGTCACATACACCATTAAATTTAGCATTTCAAATAACAATTCAACCATCAGAGCATTCTTGATCCAACCTCTGAAACACAGCTGCATCTGCAGCATACATGAAAATGTATTTGAAAGCAGAGAATATGACGGTGGTCTTTACTTTTCACCAGCAGGCAGAAAACAACAGCCTATCACTTTGCCGTAATCAAATAAACTAGTGCATGAATTACACCATAGACTTGGTGAAGTAAACAGATGACGATATGTCAAAGCCCTTACTATCCTAAAGTCGATTGTGATGCTTCTTCAAACACTGCTTCAGTTATTTCAGACATCTGAAAGAAAATCTGGGGGGAAATATGTGAAAGAAATATTAATAACTCAGAAAAATGCTGCAAAACTCTCTATCTTTATTTTTACGTCCCAGTTGTGGTTTGTGTAGGCACTGTGGTGACAAAAGGCTGAGTGCAGCAGTGTGCTGTTTAAGGACCTCAGAGGGAATAGTGCTGATCAGTGGGAAGGAATGCAAATTTTCTGCAGCTGCAAAAAAGTTGTGGGATAAGGAAACTAAAATGTTCGTTTTGTGCATAAGAATCAGTCACATCAGTGTTGCTCCAAAGTGTATAAAAACGCTCCTGGAATCACTGTGCAACACACGCTCGCATTCAATATGTGTTCACACATGCAGGACAGTGAGGAGAGAAACCACACGGTGTCCCTCCCTTCTCTTCTGGAAAAACAGAGTGCACATGCAAACTCCACAAAACATTAGCAGTAAATGGGACAAGGAAATGTTCATTAGCTATGCTCATCAGTCCCACTCAATATTGGCAAGCAGCGAGTGAGGAAGTCAGACTGGTGTCACGTAATTCCCAGGAAAAGTCCCAAAAGTATGAGTCCGTTCTGACGTACCTGCAGACAATACAGAGCACACACAAGGTCACAACACAGAAACAAAGGATTGTTGATACATTTGTAACAAAAAAAACATGTAATGTCTTGTTATGTCCAGCAGAGGGGGCGCTCACATAAAAAGAACACTTTAATGTTCTGTCATTTGTGTTGTTTTAAAGTTACTTCTTGCAAATTGACGCTGGTAAAAAAAAAAAATATTAAAAAAAATTGTCAAATGTAATTGAAAGTATAGCAATGATTGTGCAGGCTAGTGCTTACTGACTAGTAAATAATGTTGCCATAAGGATGCATTAACATGGACATCCCTGCTCTTCTGTGCTTCATAAAGATAACTCTCAACTGTCTGTAGGTATTGATTCATCTAGATTCCAGATGATATATATCTGACTTCAATAAAAAATTCTTATAATATGTTTCAGAAGAAAAAAAAATACCAAGACAGAAATGTTAAATCAAGAAAAATAATTTCTCTCCTGTTTTTGGTCAAACTATGTCTCTATATCTTTAATCAGTTGGAGTGTTTCTGATTACGTTTATCCTGTCTGCAATATAGACGGGATATAAAATGGCTATTTCTGGAAATAAAATTTCTCTTTTTAGCATTTGCACATATGAATGAATGCACAAATCTCACATTGTACTTCAAAAGGCTGTGTTCAGGGTAGAAGACACAAGTCTAGGTTATAAACTAGAACTGATCCAAAGCAGTCTGCAATCGTGAATCAGACAGCAACTTCATCATCATTAGTCCGCACAGGAAGAAAATGGTCATATCACTTGTTGAAGATTAGACTATTTAGTGCACAATTTATCAAAAATATATACAAGGAACAGTTTTCGAAATCTTTATTCTGGAATGTAGCCTTTTAAAACACAGAGCAAAAGAATCTAAGAGGCACTCTCAATGTAACAAAGAGGCACTCTCAATGTAACAAATGTCACATCACTTGGACACTAGGTGGTGCAATTGAGATCTTTTTCTTTTTCTCCAGAAAATTGGTGTTTGTGCTTCATTTGGTCTGATCTATGTACATTGTATCCTACATATTTTCAAAGACAAGTGTGCCTGAATTCTCATGGGTTAGTTAGCTCACAGTAAGACTCGCCTCATTTAAAGTGATGATAACAACAGAAAGTCTGTTACCTACAAACCAGCCGTCATCACATTTTTCCATCACTTGCACAATGTCGCCTTCTCTGAGCTCCAGCTCATCTCCATTCTGGGGTGTGTAGTTGTAAACAGCTTTATACCTACGATTCAAAAGACAATCAAATTAATGCAAATGGTTTCACATAGTCCATCTGTTCAGCAGAAAGGCTAAAAAACAGACGTACGGTTGCCGTTGCCCCACTATTGAACCAGGATTGCTCTGTGAGTTGACATGCGCATTCACTGGAGCGTACAGACTTGGTATTGCACCCTGGGGGGGAAACAATTTTCACATCAGTTAAAGTGACATCATAAATATTGCTGTATCGACACAAACAAGTAAAACACAGGCGTGGGCATGCTGTGATGTTTGAGGGCGGTGGTGAGAGCAGACCTGTGAGGGACCAGTGTATCTGGGAGTGCTCACAGAAGGAGCAGCCGCTCTGTGCACGGACGCTGACGGCTGAGAAGAAGGTGAAACTGCTCTAAACGTGGAGTGTGCCGCAACCAGGTTGCTGTTCTGGTTGGTGGGAGAAGCCATACTGGGGGTGCCTTGGGGAAGTCGATGGTGTGACAGTGTCTGGTTGGGGGAGCGTGACTGTGAGCCCGGGCCGCCATACGGGACAGGTGACGATGGTTTCAGAGGGGAGTGCTCAAGTTTGGGGCTGACGGAAGGTGGCGTGAAAGGAATGAGTGGTGACCGCGGGGACGGGGAGTGGAGCGGACGCCCCGGACTCTGTGGCCCAGGAGACATGGGGCCTGCTGAGAAGTCATCCGTGGAGTATTTGGTGCGGGGCATCTTGTTGACCTGGACGTAACTGGCCGGGAAGATGCCGCTGCGGTTCGTTCCAGAGATCCTGCCCTCCAACCACTTATCGTCAACTTGCCTGGTTATGCAGATCACTTCGCCCTGCCGGGGAAAGGAAACAAAATTAGGAAATGTTACTTCATATATATAATGTGTGGGTCATTACTGGATGCAGAACTGAAAGAGCTGTTTTCTGCTTAATGAGTTCTCTGCTGTAAAACCCGATCAAACATTTCCAGCAGAATGTTTGATCTGCTATCACACAGAATTTTTTTTTAAACTTCCTTACTTCATTTCCGATCAAATCTACTCAATATTTACTTCAATATTTCGACTGTAACTCCCTTTATGCTCAAATTTCATCGCAGTATTTTTCTCCTCTTAGTACAGTTTACCGTACAAGGCAGAAAGTACAACTTATTCTGCTATTAAGATAAGTTTTGCTGGGATTTTTCTAACAAGAATACTGAAAAATCTTATGAGCATAAAAAAGGAGCTTGTCTGGGAGTCATTTAGCTCAAGTCCAAATTGCTTCTGGGTCTCTGCCAAGAAAAAGACTGACCCAGTATAATCACAACAAGTAGTTATGATCCCCCCCACTTTGTCATGGATTAAACAAACACCTGACCTTATAATGAGTCTGAGCAGTGCTGATGGGTGGCTCTTACTGCAAAGTCAGGCTAGCTGATTATTCTTTTTTTGGTATACAAAACTAACAAACTCTTCCAAAAGTCTCTAAGAAGTATTTCTTTATATATAAATTCCAAATGCTTGTTCAAATATTTGAACAGCAAAACCGTCGGTCTGTTTTATCCGACGTTAAGGTCTTTTGTTTTGACGTCTTCTTTCTACAGTAATGAAAATTGTCATGGTGAACCACTCACTTTGCGAAAGGAAAGCTCAACAGGAAGGTCAGCGTTGAAGTTATATAGAGCAAGGGCTTCTCCATACTCCAACACCTGGAGAGTCGGAGACTTTATTGGTGTCGGTTTCTCTGTGGGAGGCAGAACCTGAAATAAAAGACAGAGTTGT